TAGAAAAAGACGGTCATCAATATAGCTAACCTTTAATCCAAGAAAATAGTTTCGATCTCCAAGATCCTTAATGACAAATTCATGATTAAGACGGTTAGTGAAGGGACAAGGGTAGATGCATGGTTACCAGTATGGATTAAGTCATCGACATATATGAGCAGATACTTAATGAAAGAATCCCGAGCAAAAATAAATAATAAAGTGTCGGCACAGCTACACACGAAACCATTTGCGAGTAAGAAAGAGCTCAAGCGATGAAACCAAGGCCAGCTCTACCCTTTGCAAAACTAAGCAAGGGCTTAGGGCCCCCAATTCTAAAAGGCCCCTAATTTTAAAGCTTATTTTGTTAATTATATATGTGTATATATATATATATATATATATATATATATATATATATATATATATATATATATATTTCTTGGGTTACATAGACAAATTGGAGCTTGGCCTGGTGGTAAAAGCGTTGGTTTATAAAACTAAGGATCTTAAGTTCGAAACTGTTAGCTTACTTGAAAGGCTCCAATTTTTTTGTTTGCTTAGAGCCCCCAAAGTGGTTGAGCCACCCCTGGATGAAACCATGCACGTGAGGCCTGTTTTAGTCTGTATAATGTTTTGAATAACTTGCAAACATTAGGAAATTGAGGTTCAACAAAACCAAGTGGTTGTTCCATGTAGATGATTTTATTGGGTCTTCATGTAGGAAAGCATTTTTTACGTCTAGTTGATGTAGACACATCTATTAAGAACAACAAGTGAAAGAACAATGTGTACGGTGTAAGCTTCTACAACTAGACTAAATGTGTATGAGTAATCAAGATCGAGAACTTGGATAAAACCTTGAGCTACCGAACGTGCTTTAAGGCGTTCCACAGAGCCATCAGATTTAAATTTGGTGCGATCGACCCATTTGGAGCCTACAACATTTAAAGCAGGTGATCGTGGGACTAAGAGAATTAGCGAGGGAAGAGAAAGAAGATTAGGCTGATACCATATAGAATGTTATCAAATAAAACCACACGTATCATTGTGTGTTTTGATGTATATATAATCGCAATAGGTTACAAAATACAAAAATTAATCTCCTAAAATAAAGAAGTGAGATAAATACAAAATATATATGTTAACTAATAGTGATTATTTAATAAATGTCCTAAAGTTCATATCTATATATATCTAATAACTATGTTCTATTACTTGTTTCTAAAATCAAGGTTTTTTAGTACTTAAGTTCGATCGGTAATATTATTAAGGGATAATGACTTAAAAGGGTAATATATTATTCGATTTGTATACATTTGGTCACTGTGTTTTTTTTTCGTTCACATTTACCCCTTCAGCTTGTTAAACTGTACACATTCAGTCTTTATGACCTATTACTCCAGGTTAGCCGGGAAAAATGACTTAATGAGGTAATATATTTCTCATTTTGTACATATTTAGTCCTTAATATTTTTATACACATTTAGTCCTTAATATTTTTTTGTTTCAATATAAGTCATTTTTGTTTTTGTACTCATTCAGTACTTATGAATGTGGAACAATCATTGATGAGGTGTGTGGGGCTGTTGATGTTTATTTGTAACGTCTCATTTTCAAAAATGGAACTCGAATCAGATCAAAACTTGATTTTTGTTTAAGAACACACATCGTTCAAGAACACACACACAATTTTTGTTCAAGAACACATTCATCGATTTTCATATCTTCAAATATATTCATTCGATTTTCAGATCTTCATTTATCTTTATTCGATTTTCAAGAATACATACCCAGATCTTATGTGTGTGTGTTATTGTGTTTATTATTTAAAAATCGAAATCTGAAAAGATGAACACAACACAGAAAAAGATGAACACAAGCACACACTCAAAAAAAGATAAACATGAACACACACTCAGAAATCTACGATTTCCTTTCTGGAAATTAAGTTTGCTCTTCAAAAATCGAACATAAAATCGTTTTTGGGGTTTTATTCTTCAAAAAACTAAAGCTTTGGTCAAGAAATCGGTTCAGATTTGCTTATAAATCCATTATTAAGAAAAAATGTATGTTCTAAAATACATTTATCAAAAATCAGAGTAATATAAGAAACGTGGAATCCTCAATACTGTTGATGAGTGTGTACAGTCATGCCTTCGTCTTCCCACGATCAACGATAGAACCTGAAAACATAAACAACTGGGTAAGCACAAAGTTTAGTGAATTTCCCCTAAAATATCAGATACAACAAATGTATTATCATGCATAACGGGTCCACACTCATCAGATTGGAATACCTTGGACTAATCAGTCATCGGAATGGAATGCCAACTTGCAACAGGTCCAATCAGTCATTGGACTGGAATACCCAGGGTTTGTCGGCATGTCGCCTTAACCCAACCGCTCTTCTCGAGCCTCTGTGCCTACGGCTTACAACCGGCACGCACCAGGTATCTTGGCCTACAACATATAGCAGGACCACCTCAACCTATCCCTATTATTAGAATGTCACAATTAGTATTTTATAGTATATGAAAATGATTTGGTTACCAATTATATACAAGTTGGTCAAAATTCAACATCATACTTTCGAGATGCAAGTCTCATAGCCATTTTTCTTATTTTATTCTAAAACTCTAGGTTATTTTAGTCGATGTTCTAAAAAGCTCGTCATGGTTTCACATTGGCTCCAAGGCTTGTAATTGCCGCTAAGTTTTAACAAAATGTCGTCTTACAGACGATGTAACTCGTCATGGCTCGAAAAAACTTGAGTCTTGACATTGCTGCCAAATCACACCTAACATTATTTAGAACATTGATTTTATTACATGATCAACTAATATATTTTAAAATCCGCCATAATTTAGATTAAGGGTGATTCTAAATTCACTCCCCCTTGTCCAAGATAGATTAATTAACGAAATTATTTGCTCGATCCTTAAAGTGATCATGCACATCTAAAAGCGCCAGCATTACCAAATTAACAATGATAATCTGTATGGAAAGGCCACATGCTATCATCAAATTTGTTCATTTTGAAGTGCAACTTAAGGAACCTGCAACTTTATAAACTTGTGTTTATATGAGGATGAGTCAAAGACTGTGAAAATGATGAAAATGATGAAAATGCTTCAACTACTCTCTTATCTTTTGCACCAATTAATCATTTTTTTATTAATATTGACCTGAATAAAATTTACGAAAACACCATGGTAATGCAAATGCAAATTTGTACATGGTGTTTAAATTGTGTTATAATCACAATGATTATGTAAATAGTGATGACCACTCTCATGTTTGATAAGATGAAAGTAAGTTATGACACGTTCTCACAAAAATTGTATTCAACAAATCAATTATACCATACATAGAGGCATGATTATCCAGGGACAAGATAATCTACTCTTAAGTGGTTTGTGTTGAAAACATAAAGTAGCAGACAAGATTTAGTGCCCTTTTTGGTAACTTTCAATTTGGAAAATGCATCAAAAATCTATGGATTGTACATTGTTCGTAGATTTAAACAGTTGGGAATTGGGATACATGTTTTTTTCGCTTGAAAGGACATAGAATTATAAGTTAGTGGGTTATCTTAATAATAATGGATTAGGCTCAATGACACAATTTTAGGTGATAGCTAAATTCCGTCTCTTTCCTTAAAGGGCCGTGGAAGGAGCATATTTGATACAACTTAAAGTTAATTTCTAAGAATCAAATTATCGTTCCATTGGGCCATGGGCCTAACTTGTTTAGCTTTTGCTAATTTGTCTTCTAAATTAAACCGATAATATCACTTAATCAATTCCATTTGGCCATGGGCCTTACCTTGAATTAGCAACCATCATTTAATCACCTATCACCTAAATGAAAGCTAATTAATTTGAGTTTAATTGTTATGATACTTAATGCCCTTTACATAAGGTATGATATCATATGTTCATACTAACCACTTATTAACAGATCAATTAACTGCATGCAAACAAAAGTTTATAAATTAATTTTTTATTGATAATCATTTGGTCTTAATATAGAGAGTTTCCAATCAGAATCCATGAGTTTTACTTCCTACAAATTAGAATATATGCTTTAAAGAAAAAATAAGGATGAGAACTCTTTAGTAATTAATTAAACTATCAACCTCTTAAATATCTTCTGCAAATATACATAGTAACATTTACCATTTCTCCATATCTATATACAACTTTACACAAGGTGCAATTATACTTACTATGACAACATGAGACACCTACTATTCTACTATCCAAACATGTCTCTTCATCATTCCATCTTTACTTTTACCATTTTTTCGTGTTTCGCAAGCTGCAATTCATGGTTGATAATCCTGTAATTCTACGCAAGAAATTGACCGTATGTTACGCAACTTTTTTTGAGCAATGATTCTGTTGATAACATAATCATTTTCAAGTTAAACAAGTATCTTTTTACCGTAGAATGGTCCTCCATAGCTACTAGAAACCTACTTATATATACATTGGCCATTAGGTCTTTAAGGTGTTGTTCTTTAAGTCACTTGGACTTCATCATAGAATTATATATATGTTGGCTATGTTATGATCTAAACTTTTTACTTTATGTATTTGACAATATCACCAAGTCTATATATAATAGGGAAAAAGTAGTCGTACTAATGAAGTGCAGTTATATTAGTATATTAATCAATACTATGAACCAGAAAAAGGATGAAAACTGAAAAGTGATCTTTTACTTTATTAACCCAGAAATAATGAAAGGCACATGTACATGATGCTACTGTTTGGTGGCATCCATAGTGTCTATGATAGACCTTTAACTAGATGGTATGATAATCTAAAACACAAACAACACAAAATCAAAATGAAAAAGATGCACCATTGTCCACTGTCGTGTAAGAACAAATACCATCATGAACCTATGTCGTGTAAGAGCAAATACCACCTTCTATAGAAAATAATTTTTCTTCATTTTTTACTTCAGTATTTAAGCGTGACTCATGTTGTAGTTTTTCCATATAGGGAACGATGACAAGTGCTTATAACCACTCCTTTTTGGGCCTGGTCTTTTTATCACTTTCTATTATTCACTCAGAATCCACTTCAAATGTAACTTTACCACCAAAAGTGCTTTCAACTTTTTGTGTTTTGTTCCCTCTTCTCACATCTGTCATCTTGCTTCGTTTTTGGTATGTTTTACACAGGTTTACATTGTTTATTTAGGGCTCAACAATATTCAAGATCCTATTCTAACTTCAAATTACCATCTTCAACTCCTTTCCAATGTCTTTCCAAGGTGACTCTTTCAATACCTCTCTAGTTCCCATTATACATATGATTCCTGTTGAGATTTGGCTAAAACAAAGATGATGAATTTGTCCCACATTGGTAAGTTAGCTATACACCTATAAAAGACTGAATGAGTTTATGATATTTGTTTATGTGATTTCAATAATCTTTCATATAATGAACTTTTCTCTCTAGATGGTTTTGGTTTTTAAATTCTAATTTTGGAACAATTCCACAACTGATCATATTATTGCTATTTTTTCCTTTATAGCCAAGAACATGCAAGGAAATCTATGGTTTATAGCTACAAACATAGTTTCTCAGGATTTTCTGCAAAAATTAACTCAACACAAGCAGCCACCTTAGCTGGTTAGTGAAAGAAGGGTACTTTTTATCTTAAAAGCTATTGATAAAATCAAACTTTTGGATGTTTAATTAATGAAAAAATAAACAATATTTCAGGAATGGAACGAGTGATATCAGTGTTCAAGAGCAAGATATTAAAGTTACACACAACTAGAAGTTGGGATTTCATGGGTCTCAATTTAGACCCCATTGGTGATCAAGTAACTCCACTTCAACTAACTCATGGAGACAACGCAATTGTTGGCTTATTCGATACTGGTATTTAATTTGTATCATAGGAAATGCATGATATTAGTTAAATATATCTTTTGTGATGTACATAGTTATTATTGTTTTCAATAAATCAGGAATCTGGCCAGAATCTAAGAGCTTCCATGAAGAGCCTAACATGCATCCAATTCCAAAAACTTGGAGAGGAAAATGTGTCAATGGAGAAAATTTCGATCCTAAAAAATCTTGTAACCTAAAACTCATTGGGGCCCGTTATTACCTCAAAGGATACGAACTAGAACACGGATTACTAAACACAACTGGAAGCTCAGAATATCAATCACCACGTGATGCTAATGGTCATGGGACCCACACAGCTTCGACAGCAGTGGGGTCCACAGTAAAAAAGGCAAGCTTTTTAGGGTTTGGACAAGGGACAGCTAGAGGGGGTGCACCAAGGGCAAGATTGGCAATTTATAAAGTGTGTTGGGAGGATGGAAAGTGTAGTGAAGCTGATATTTTAGCAGCATTTGATGAAGCTATTCATGATGGAGTTGATGTGATTTCGGCGTCTTTTGGTTCACCACCACCATTGGTACCCCTTTACAACTCGAGTTCTGATATCGGGTCTTTCCATGCAATGCAAAAGGGTATTAGTGTCATTTTCTCAGCTGGAAATAATGGACCCGACCCGTCTCTTGTCCAAAATGTTGCACCTTGGAGTACGTGTGTAGGCGCTTCATCTATTGATCGAAATTTTCCAACACGAATATTATTGGATAATAGTCTCTCTTTCATGGTATAAATAACTTGATTGCATTCTTTTATAATTTATTTCCCAAAAAGCCCATGGTCATAAACTTGTTATGTGTAGGGAGAAAGCTTAAATACTAAACACATAGAAGCATATTTGGTTGGAGCTCGTATTTTTTTCCGTGGAGGGTACCCTCTCTTTCTCTCTATTGTGTATATATACACACACACTCACACAAAAACATACATACAAATACACATACATACACACATACATTTATATGATGTGATAAAATTGTGCTAATGATAAATTGAATGACTATTGCTTAACAATGAAAATATAGGATATGTAGAATGAGTAGGTGGCGAAACAACAATGCATTTGGGGCAGTGATCTTGTGCTTCTCAACCCCAGGATCAGTGCTAATTGAAGAGGCAGAAGTAGCAGTGTGGGGTGCGAATGCCACAGGATTGATCTTTGTAGACTCGCCTACTCGACAATATGTTGATGTGGATATAATCCCCACCATCCGTGTTGACATGATCCAAGGCACTAAAATGGGACATTATTTGTCTCAAAGCATGTAAGGGTCGTTTCCATTTGACTTAATGAACTTAATCGGTGGACATTGATACACATATGGTTGTTTCTTCTTGACTTAATATGGACATAATAACTTAATCAGTTAAGCCAAAAAATGACTTAATGTATTAAGACACTAATGTTATACCTATTTGTCTTTTTCTTTTTTTCCTCCCATCTCCTCTCATGTTAAAATTGATGAATACCGTGAATTTTTTTATTGAAATGTAAGTGTAAAATGATTATTTAATCTTATTTAGACCATTAAATTAATCTAGAAAAAAAAAAACCTTATCCAAACATTACTTATTCAGCCTCTTTATCCAAACATCCTATAAGATTTTCTAATTATGTAGTTATTGTGTATATATTAAATTATTAATTGAGAAATTAAATATCCTCCTACTTTTCTTTCTAATTATCTTCCTATCGATTTGAAATGATGACAAGTGTCCTAAAATATAATTAATTTTATCAAAATATGATATCTGTCACAATTACAAATGGGTAGGAAGATAAATAGGAAGAAAATGTAGGAGGATATTTAATTTCTGATATTAATAATATTGTTTTCTTGAAAAATGAAGGATGTATCCCCCTAAGGTGCACATATTTCCAAGTAAGACGATTATCAAACAAACACCAGCACCGGTTGTTGCGGATTTTTCATCTAGAGGCCCAAGCTCAATTTCACCCGATATTCTAAAGGTAATAAAATATTAAAATACTCTAATATTTGATCCATAAAAAAATAGATTAACAAGAAATTAATTATATAATTAAATTCACCTACAGCCAGATATAAGTGCTCCTGGCATCACTATATTAGCAGCATGGCCACCTGGAATACCTCCAACTTCAACAAGTATTGATCAAAGATCTGTAGAATGGAACTTTCAATCAGGAACATCAATGTCATGCCCTCATGTTTCAGGAATAGTTGCTCTTATCAAATCACTACATCCAAATTGGTCTCCAGCAGCGATTAGATCTGCTTTAATGACAACAGCCTACAACAGGGATATGAATCATGACACCATATTATCTGGTGGAACAAATGAAGAATCTAATCCTTTTGATATAGGAGCTGGACACATTAATCCCTTGAAAGCAATAGATCCAGGTTTGGTTTATGACTTAAAAGCTGATGATTACATTCTTTTCTTATGTAACAATGGCTACACTGAAGATCAAATCAAGAGAATCATCAGTCTTGTTCCTGGGAAAAATGTAAATTGTCCGAAAGAAATGACGAGCAACACGAATTTGAATTACCCATCTATCACAATCTCGAGTCTTGAATCCAGTGTTATTATCAAAAGAACAGTTCGAAATGTAGGTGGGAGGAAAACAAGTGTATATTTCGGAAGAATTGTTAGTCCTCATGGGGTGGAGGTTACAGTTTGGCCGATGATCTTGTTTTTCTCGTATTTCAGAGATGAAGTTTCATATTATGTGACTTTTAAACCACGGAAGGTGTCGCAAGGAAGATATGATTATGGTGAGATTGTTTGGTCTGATGGGTTTCATACAGTTAGGAGTCCATTGGTTGTGTGTGTTAACATTGTAACTCCTGATACCACCATTGATGACTCTTTTCAAGCTCTTGATCATGAATCATTGTCTCTTTCTCTTTCTGGTGCTTAGAGAAATCCCATTGGTAATTTGACCCCTAAACTGCTGAAGAAAAGGATAGCGACGATCTAAAGCCCGCCGGTTACATTGTTAGTTTTTCAGTGCAATATTATCTTAAGTTGTTTTTATTATTGCAACACAAGTGTTCGACGAATTTCTTGACCTAAATTGGCAAATTAACGTAGAGATTAATCTATGCCCCTGCAAACATAAGAACAAATTGTGATGGGAATACTTACATTGTTGAAAATACTTTGAACAATTTGATAATCAATCACGAACTTTAGTTTTTTTTTATGAAAATATGTTATGGAGTCTATTTCAATTTGTTGTCTTTGTTTTTAGTAACAAATCTACTTTACGTACAAATTATAACATTATTTTTTAAACCATTAAGAAACAGTATGTTGCATAAATGAATAAAACTTGCAAATTTGTTATATGATTAAGGGGTTGTTTTTTTCCTATTAAGTCTTAGACGAGTAAAACATGGTTATTAATAGGGCTGACAAAATTGTACCACGGAAAACCAACCAACATGTTACCAACCGAACCAATAAACTTGGTAGCCAATATATTTGGTAGCCAACATGTTTGGTTGGTAGTACCGTACCAATTGATCAATGTTGGTACGGTAATGGTACAAAAATTTGAATACCATGGTAATACCCTACCAACCAATTTATTATATATATATATATATATATATATATATATATATATATATAATATATATATATATATATATATATACATGAAATCGTATATTTCAACTATTAATTGTGTTTAGTGTTTACATTTTTAATAACATTATATTAGTCATTTGATTGTATTAGTCGATAGTTATTATCACGTTAAAGCACAAAATTAAAACATTACTTTAGCGTTACTTTAGTATAATTCTTTTGTAAACAAAAAGAACTACGCAACTAATTTCTATACTAAGCATTAAAATCCCGATGTCTTTATTTTAGTAGAATTCTTTTGTAAACAAAAAGAACTACGTAACTAATTTTTATACTAAACTTCAAAATCTTGATGTCTTTGCTTATTTTTAAATGTTACAATAGAAAATTAAAAGAAATTGGTATATACCATTACCAATTTGTACCAACCAAACATGTTGGTAGCCAAATAAATTGGTACCAAGTATACCTGGTACGGTACCAGTAGAAATTTTTTATACCAATTATAGTTGGTACGGTACACGGTTTAGAGAAAAATGAATTGGTACCGTACCAATTCCACCCCTAGTTATTAAGATCCCGATATTGATTTTAATATTTTACGATTTTAAGATCCTATAAACGAAAAGCGATCCCAATCTCGCTAGAATCTATGTGAAGCAAGATTATAGTGGGATCTTAGAATTCCAGATAGGATCTTATGATCCTAACACTATATGATCTCACATCTTAGGTTTTATTATATAGTCGAGCCTAAAAAAATCTGTCTATTCAACTTAAAATCAAGCATCGTAAGTTACAAGAAGTTTTATAGAGCATCATCACTTTTTCAATTCATCTCGAATTAGGCAAGTTACACTCATGATATTTCCTATATGATCTTTAGCCTTTAGTTGTATATGATCATAACGATCTTGTTTCCTTTTGTAATTAAGATGTTTTCTTCTTAATTCTTATGGTTTGCAGTTACAAAAATTATGGTTCATGCTTAAAAAGTTAAAGGTGATTCTATATCGACATCTTAATCAACATGACATTATAATGTATACTGCACACTTAAGACCTTATGTGCAAATTTGAATAAGAGTTCATTTTAGTGGGATCTTCTGATCCCGATCACGATCTTGCAAAACACAAAACGATATTACATAAATTCTGATCTTGACAACCTTGACTCTAAAACCTTTTAGAAATGCTTGTTTTTAGACACATGCATCTGGCCTACTATAAGTTCTATTTATACAATTTGCGACCGATTGGATTATTGATCCTCGACTGTTATAAAATATCATCAAATGCCTTTAAATTGTAAAATCATCGTTGTGTCGTACAAACCATGTATATCCTATTATCATATCTTACTAGTTGTGAGGCCCGTATATTATACGGATTGATTAAAACATAATTTTAAATAGGAGCGATTAAATGAGAAGTTTATTTGAATTTGAAATATGAAGTAATTGAAAATTATGAGAAAAAAAAAACATGCAAAAAATAAATAAATTAAAATTATGTGTTTAATTGTCAGACCCGTGTACTAAACCGAATTATTATAATAAAATGTTAAATACAAAAGTTTAAAGTGTAAATTTATTTGAAATTGAAATTGAAATTTCAAATTTGAAATTTGAAATTAATAGTCATTATGGTATGTTTAATTTATGGAAACTAAATTAATAATATATTGAAAATGAATAATGAAGTAAATGACAAGTGGAAAATAAATATATCTCAAAATTATGACAAAATGACATGTGGTCAATTGAATGAGAGAATGACAAGTGACAATAACATTTTCATTTATTATGGTAGATAAGGTGTAGATGTCACATGTATTTTTAAATTAATAAGTCGAAGAGTATCATTTATATATATATATATATATATATTATATATATATATATATATATATATATATATATATATATAATGTACAAATATCTATATATGCTAAAGATAAATGTGAATAAGGCAAAAGGTTGTACATGAAAGATTAACTTGGAAAAGTAGATTCTATATATCGGGTCAAGATCCTCAATCTTATCCAAGATCCCGAATCTTAAAGGAGTCTCAGGACCCCGAACATAGATCAGGATCCTGAACATCGCCATTATTATTTCCTAACAAGTTTAACGACTATATTTCTTGTTTATTTCTCATTTGAAGAAATGGTCAATATAAGACTCATTAACAACGAATAATCACTACAACCATGCTTAAAACCCGAGAATACCAAGTTAAAGCACGTTGTAAATACCAATTCAACAGGATGTAAACCACTCTTGCCATTTTAACATCAATTCGATTCTTGTATTAGCCACAACACCACAGCCTCTCATAGAACTTGGTCGATCTTCCTTTGATCAATTTTTGACCAAAACAATTTGGCGCCCACCGTGGGGCCGTGGTGTTCATAATTCTCAAAAACCATGTTTACACAACCAACTTTATCTTCTTCCTCTATTCCTCCTATTTCCTCATAGAGTATTCCACCACATCCAAACTGAACTCTCGGTCAGAGGAAAACTTTGGATACCTCTAAAAAGAACACATCTCTGATCATCAGCCATGGGAATCCAGGATCCCTGGTATTCCAGGATCCTCCTGTTCTGATATTTAACAGGAAACTCTTCTCCATGGTGAAGATGGTAAAGCAACAACTGAAGCAACAACAGGAGGACAACAGAACATTACTCACAGAAATGGAAAGAATAAGTACAGAGATCCACAAACTGCGTGAAACAACACCTTTCATTTTCAAACCCAACATCCTTGATTTCGACAGCGCAGGATCCCAAGGGAATCATCAAGATACTACAACCTCGGCACCTGCTGCTGCTTCAACTTAGGGAGAAATTGCAAATAATCGAACCCCTATGATGCAAGATCCTAACGAAACCTTCACTACCCTTAAAAACCAAGACACTGGTAACTTACTAAATAATAATGCATTTAATACTAACTCTGAGGATCTTGATGCAGGTATAAGTCCTATCATGGCTAGGGAACTTCAACAATTGAGACAGATGATCTCGAGTGTACCAGGAATAGTCCAACCTATACTAGAAGCATCCCCCGCAAGCCACAGGATCTCGTGATTTACTCCCGTAATAGCCGATACTGAAGTTTCAAAACACTTCTAGACTCCCAGCATGAAGCCTTTCGACGAAACTGCGGATAACAAGGAGCACGTAGCACAATACAGGGAAAGAATGGAAATCATTCCCATCCGGTTACACCTAAAATAAGCTTGTTTATGCAAGGGTTTTGGTACAACCCTCACAGGAGCAGCCTTGAAACGACTTCTTAACGTTCATCCTTATTCCATTACTTCTTTTGATCATTTAGTTAGCTTTTTTAATAATCAGCTCTCTTGTAGCACGACATAAAGGATCACTAGTGATCTATATCGAGTAGTCTAGGATCCTAAGGAATCCCTTATAGATTTTGTAAACAGTTTTGGTAGGGAAGTGTTGAACATTCCCAATATTGACATGGCCACTGTCGTGGAAGCTTTTAAAATGAGCCTAAAGAAGGATTCTCCATTCTATGAGGATCATGTGATGACCCCATGCAAGAGAATAAAAGAAGTCATAATTAGAGTGTTGAGATTCATCAGACTAAAAGAAGACAAATAAATTCAGAAAAGGACTAACACCCCAAATTCATACTACAATCCTAATAGGAAGTCCGAGTCTTCGGCCCAAAGATCCTACAAATCAAAACCGTACTCCAAACCTGATCATCGTAGGGTTAATGCCCTAGAAGATGAAGGGGAAGAAGATGAATTTCTCATGATCACTGACTATTGTTTTTCTATGGATATTTCAGGTCTAATCTTTTCCATGCAGGATCTTGGCGAGAAAGCAAGGTGGCCAAGGAAAGGAGAGAAATCGAGTGGCTGGAAAGATAAGTTTAAATGATGTGCACACCATGAAGATTTCGGCCACATCACTGAGGATTTCATAGCCCTCAGAAAGGAGATTAGTTATCTCCAAAGAAAGGGACATCTCAAAGAGATCTGAGGAAGACAAAAGAAATATCGAACGAAAAGGAGCAGGATCTTGCGAGTATCATGGAAAAACCAGGATCCCCTCCTCACGACGTCAAGGTAATCAATGTTATTTCCGGAGGATCTGCCATCTGTGGAACTTCTAATTCTACAGCCAAAAGGCACACCAAAGCATCCAAGATAGAAAGCGACGAAAGACCTCGAAAGAAAACGTCGATAACAAACAGTAAGGATATCATCTTTCACGAACAGGATAGAAAAAACACCCAGGATCCTCACCGTGATGGATTGGTGATTACACTATGTATCACCAA